AATGTCATAGTTAATTGTCCACTTGGATCTTATTTCATCGAGTCGATTGATGTTAGCAAGGACACGGTGGATGGAAACAAAATGCTAGAGCTCTTTGAAGCTTTTGTCAATCAAGTGGGGAAGGATAAAATTGTGCAAGTCATATGTGACAATGCTTCCGAGAACGTGAGAGCTAGTATGCCTAAAATATTTCATATTTGTTTTTTATCCTTTGTATTAAGATTTTTAAATTTTAACATTTTTTAACTATTAATTATTTACATCATTTAGGCAATGATTTAATGGACTTGTACCTGACTTTGTATTGGACACCATGCGCTGCCCATTGCATCAATTTGATGTTTAAGGACATCTCTGAAAATCGTCATTTTGCATTGGCGTACAAGCGGGCTTTGAAATTGTCGGTGTACATCCATTCAAAGGCAAAGCTTTTGAATTGGTTGAGGAAGTATACCGGGAAGCATGATTTGGTCAAGTTTGCTAAGACTTGGTTTACTACAGCATTCTTGACATTCAAGAGGTTTCACAAGCAGAAGAACAATTTGAGAAAATTGTTCAATTCAGAAGAATTCCTCGCTAGCTCTTACTTCAAGGAAGAAGCAGGAAAAGAGTGTTCTATAACTGTTCAAATGCCAAACTTTTGGAATACAATTCTAGAAGCACATAAAATAGACGGTCCATTGATTAGCATCATTCAGTTAGTTGATAGGGATGTTAAGCCATCAATCAATGGGTTATATATTTGTCCTACGAATCTACGATGGAAATCACCAATGAAGTAATTGCAAAGGCTTTCAACACTAATTCAACCAAGTACAATAAGGTGTTCGAAATCCTAGATAACATGTGGAGTTCCTCGCTTCGTCAACCATTGCATGCAACTGCGTACTACTTAAATCTAAATTACCTCAGGTATAGTGGTGAGACATTGTTTTCTCCTATTGGCTTTTATGAGTGTTTGGAGAGGTTGGTTTCATATCAAGATGTGTATAATAAAATTGTCGAGGAGGTGTCTACTTGGAAAATTAGGTGTGGTTTATTTGGCTTGCCAATCGCCACGAACAACATGGTTCTCCAAGTTCTTACTTCTTAGACAATCTAACTTACAATTTTTATTTATAATCAAAATATTGAAAACTTTGAATAATTTTAATTTTTACAGTTGATTGGTGGAATTCTTTTGGGAGCTCAACTCCACATTTGAAAGAGTTTTCAATTAAGATTCTTAGTCTCACCACTAGTGCGTTGAGATGTGACAGATATTGGAATGTGTTTGAGCATGTAAGTTTGTCAACTTATCAATTTTAAGTTTTTTTTTTTGAAATAAAAGAGCTAATTCATTAATCATTCAATGAAAAGTTTACAATAAGATCGATGGAATGATAAAACATTCTTACAATCAGACATTGAAACAAATTTCCAATGCTACACGAAACTTGAATCTCTGACTGTTTTTCAAGATTGAAGGTGAATTCGTTTGGAGAACCTGAAGCTTCTTTGATATTGTTAATGATCTTGCTACCCAAGTCTGACTCTATTGTGGCTCTTCTGTCCATAGACAATATCTCCATTAGTCTGAACTGCATATCAAGGTTCAGATCTTCTTTGGTGCTCAAGATGAAGCAAACATACTCCCTTATCAGATAAATTGTTTGACCTTATGAAAAAAGAACTCGCCAAATAAACGAGAGGAAAACTCGCTAAAGACACGAGAGGAAATAACTTTAACAAAAGAACAGATGAAAATCAAATTTAAAACAGCCAAAACAAATCCTAAACACCAAACCACTAACCTCTATATATATATATATATATATATATATATATATATATATATATATATATATATATATATATATTATTGAACCGCTAAAAAAAGGTAAAGAAGCTTGGATCTGGAGTTGGAGATGGTGAGGGACGGTGGTGAAGGAGGAAGAAACGTCAGTGAGGAGCCGGGGGAGATGGTGACGGTGGAAGAGATGCGGGAAGAGGTGCCGGCAGCGGAGGAGAGGCCGAAGGACAGGCGATTGAGAGACGGTTGGAGTAGGGGAAGAAACGAGAGGAGGTCGGCGCCGCCTTCGCAAAACGAGCGGAAGCAGCGGCCGATCAATGGAGGATGAGGAAAAACCCTTGCAGAGAGAATATTAGGTTAGGGAGCGGAGCCCTTTCACCTATCAATTTTAAGTTATTAATTAGTAATTATAACATATTTAAACATTAATTAATTTTAAATATTTTAGTTATAATCTAAAATGAGAAGTCACCTTATGCACATGCGCCTATGATTTGGTTTTCATTAGGTATAATAGAGCATTGAAACGGCATTGGAAAATGCGTGATACCATTGATCCAATTAGTTTGGATCAAATTGATTTTGCTAATTAATGGTTGACAGGTGTCATGGATGATGCTAATGAAGAGTTAGTGTTTGATGATGAAGATGGATTAACTTGGGGAGAAATTGCTAAGTTTTCGGGTGCAAATGAAACTCCTTGTTTTCTTAGGCATGTTTCTAAAGGAAAATAGAAGGTAGGGAGTTCAAGGTCTAAGGGAAAGGAAAAAGGTTCCCGAACGTAAACTAGTGGATGAAGATGACATTGATGAAGAAGATGAAGAAGCATTTGAAGATAATGGAGTTATTAATTTTGACAATTTGGATTTGTGTGATGAAGAACATGACTTTTAGATGGAAGATTGAATAATTGATTATGAATATTGAATATGTGATATTTTGATGACTAAAGTTTGTATTATTATGATATTGTGACTTTAGGAGTTCTTATTTATTTTATTTTGCACTAGTATTGTCTCGTGCGATGCACGGACTAAATATTAAAGATTTGTTTGTAATGTTAGAATAGGTAAAAAATGTTTTTAATAATGGTATTTGAAGTACACAAGAAAAAAACATGAACCACAATTTAATTGTTTAAAATTACATTTTTATTAAGTATATGACAAAATAATTATGATATTGTATTTACAATATTTAATTTAATAATTGAAAATAGTATGATACAAAAAGTTACTATTATTAATCGCAGCTAGTGGTATACATATTTGATCTTGAGTATGTCTACTCCTAGTATGCTACCAATGCGATGCACGGAATGAATATTGGACAGTATTATAATAATATTTTTTATTAAAAAATACATAACCTAATATCAGCATAGTTGCAATTCATATTCATATTCATATATATATATATATATATATATATATATATATATATATATATATATATTACAACTAGTATTTTATATGCGCGATGCGCAAAAAATATATGCCCAATATTAAAATTAAATATTAAAATCTTAGTTATATTAATTTTTTAAACATAATAGTGTGTGTGTGTATATATATATAATTGTATAATTCATATTAATATTATTGAGGTAAAAATTATAGAAATGATAATTTACTAAACATAACTATGGTAACATTTTAATTAAAACCTAAATGAATTCAAACTTACCATTGAAGGATGTAAGAAAAAATATTGTGTATGCATGTACATGGTAATAATAATGTGGAAAGATAACAGAAGTTATAACAGCAGGGATATTTTTGTCCAAAAAATTATGTAGTACAACTTTTATAGCACAAGGTACAAAAAAAGGTAACGAAAAACATGAACATAAACCAGGGGTATAACCTGGATTGAAGCTTATTATGTTTTTAGATAATAACAATAACACTAACACTAATAATAATAATAATAATAATAATAATAATAATAATAATAATAATAATAATAATAATAATAATAATAAAGTAATAATCATTAATAATATTAATAACATATATATATATATATATATATATATATATATATATATATATATATATATATATATATATATATAGAGAGAGAGAGAGAGAGAGAGAGAGAGAGAGAGTTAATACCCAAAATCGTCCTCGACTATAGTGGTTTTTCTCAATTTCGTCCTAAACGACTTTGGTGACCTAATATCGTCTCATACTTTTGTGTTCCGCTCAATTTAGTCCCAAGACTTTTGTGTTTTTGCTCAATTTAGTCATTCATTTGTTATTCTGTCCATTTGGTGTTAAATAAATAGACAATTCAGTAATTTTAATATTGGCATCTCTTTACTCATAGACATGTGAACTGCGAAATCCTTTTTTTTTTTACGAATTACTCCCAGAATTACTCCTAAAACTGCCAATATAAAATTTGATTTGCAGGTCCGGGAGTAATTCTGGGTGTAATTCGTACAAGAAAGAGAAATTTCGCACTTCACAAGTTGAAAGTAAAGAGAGATCAATATTGACATTACTGAATTTTCCATTTATTTAACACCAATTTGACGGAATAACAAATGGAGGACTAAATTGAGCGAAACACAAAAGTCTGTGACGATATTAGGTCACCAAAGTCGTTTAGGACGAAATTGAGAAAAACCACTATAGTCGAGGACGATTTTGGGTATTAACTCTCTCTCTCTCTCTCTCTCTCTCTCTATATATATATATATATATATATATATATATATATATATATATATATATATATATACCATATGGTCTTGTGAAAATTAAATGTTGTTAATACCAACATTTAACCATTAATATCAACATTTAATTTTCACAAGACCATATGTCTTTATTATAATTAAGATTACTATTTGAATATTTGGAGTTTTTGACTATATATATGTATACACTAGTCTTTTCTATGCGCGGTGTGCAAAAACATATGCTCAATATTTATATTTTTAAAAATAACTAACAAATTCCTACTAATTAAAATCTATATGAAATCAAATTTATTTAGTATATTAATCCAATATATAATGTCTACAAATATTATTATCATTAAAGAATATACGAAAATTTATAGTGGATGCATGTGTATGGTAACAATAATGGAAAAGATACGAAAGTTATAACCATAGGGGTATTTTTGTCCAAAAAATATATAGTACAACTCTAAAAGTACAATGTACAAATTGATTAGCACTAAAAATATTTACATAAATTAGGGATATAACTTTGATTAAGACTTGTTATGTTTTTTTGATAAAGTGTCACTTTGCATTAAAAAGCGACACTTTACTTTGCGCTTTCTCTTTAAAGCAAAGCCCGGCCTTGTCGCTTTAGTGCGCTTTAAAAAGTTTGTGTATATATAAATTGTCACTTTGCATTAAAAAGCGACACTTCATTTTGCGCTTTTGCTTTAAAGCAAAGCCCAGCCTCGTCGCTTTAGTGCGCTTTTTCGCTTTAAAATGTGTGTGTGTGTGTGTGTGTATATATATATATATATATATATATATATATATATATCCCAAACGTGAGATAATGCGAACAAGCATATATGAGTGCACACAATCTACTCCAGGATCTCCACTATCATCTAGGCATACCTGATTGTGTGCACTCATGCTTGTTCGCATGTTCTCACCTAAGGAAGTGTGATCCTGAATATATATGGCTATATATACAAACACACAAGGGAGACCTATTCCATGAAATACTATTTTATTCCTAATATTTCATGAACCAAAGACTACCTAATAGTTTTAAGAATACGGAGGTACTGCTCCCACTTGCAGTCACCTCTCGTAATCTTATGCATAATAATAATGTAATCACTTTTCAATATCATTATTTTATAATCCATAAAGCCAACACAATTGTAGACCTAAGTAAATAACTCATAACTCAGTATTCAAACTTAATGTAACTCCCACCTTGTAAATGAACCCACAAATTCAATCTCTTATTTCATTCATCAGGACTCCCCATTTGAAGTAGACTTTGAGTGACTTCTCATACTACTATAAAATCAACTTTAATATACACAAAAGCAATTTAGGGACAACGGCTTCGACAACATTGAAGTGAAGCTCAACTCAGGAGTTGTGGTTAACACTAATGGATGGATTTTTTAGGATCTCAGAAGGCAATAAATGTACTGAATTTATTGCTAATTTGGGTCAAATGAATGATAAGGGTTCAATTGCTTTGAATCAACCTACAAAATGAATAAGTAATCTTCTTACTTTAGAGGTTATTGGATCGGAGTTGTTTTTATGAGGGTTAGAGGATTGTTTGAGGCCGCCTTAGTTGTGTACATGAATAAAAAAAGCATCATATTCAAAATACGTGTTAAGTTTATTCAACACACTCCACATTTAAATAAACATTATTTGACAACTTTAATCTATAAACTATACTCAATACGATTAAGGCATATAAAAGTATTAAAAAAAAAAGGCATATAAGAGTGATTTGGTCATGCTAGATTGAACTTTGTTCCTAAGTGCCCGAAAAAAAAAAAAAAAAAAAGAAGATACTTAAAGTAGTAAAAAAAAAAAATTTCTCACATTTGAGAAATTCTAGTTTCTTTTGAAAAAAAAAATTATTATGAACCAAATAAAAGATAATTCAATTTTCTTCCACTTTTTAAAATTTTAGTTCCTTAATTATTTTTTTTGGGCTAAAATGTCTTCTCGCACCAGGAACTATATCAGTTTTTTTCATGCCACACACTAACCTTTCAAAACATATATTTCGATCCACTTACCATTAATTTTTTTTCCGTCTACCATTTTCATAGGTTTCCCAGTTACCATGATGACATGATACCGATTTAAGCTGATGTAGACCTTCAGTATATTGTTGACTAGTAACCATTGCATATGTTCTTGTTACTCCTCTATTAACTGGCCTTCCCATTGGTTCGATTTCCCCGTTAATGCAGTTACCATGTCAAAATCAATATTGCAAGTATGAAATGATAGCAACTATCTATGCATTTCATATTGTTATACCCTGCGAGATGGTTTGAACCGAAATTTTATTAGGTCGCTGTCTAAGATGGGTGCATAAGCATTTGAAGACGACATAGACGACTAAACGAGGATGAAGAAGTAGAGGATCTGCCGGGAAGCATGAATTTTCCGGTCAAATTGGGGTCTTTGCAACATAAGTTGGGGAATAAGGGTTGATACTATACCTTGTAAAGATTGACTATCAAAATCGGAAATTTAAGAAGATCCACTGCCTTGTGAAACTGAGGAGCATTGTGAGGAAGGCAATGCATTTCCATTACTCAAAAACTAGAATTAAACCGTTTTCATTTGAGCTCCCATTTTCTTCATAATGAGGATAATCTTCTTTGTCCAGTTTCTCCCTCACAACCCTCACGTTATTCAACTTTTCCATCCGCTTTCTCTTTGCCTCCATGAACTTCTATGACTGCACATCCTTTCTCCTCCGCCACTCCTACGTCTTCGCCTCTGCCAGCAACAAGCACGCCCTACTGAGCGGCGTTACGTAGGGAGAGAATTCACGCACCTCGTTGCCTTCTCTGTTGAGCACGAAGCTAGATATTGAAGAAGAGCGTTTCGGCTTCTAGGCTCTATTCGGGTTGACCGAATTTCCCGTTCAGTGAAAGCCCCCGGCTGAGCTCAATCCCCCCTCATACCCTTCGTTGACCGCCGCTGTTTCTCTCCTTCGTCTGTATTCTCTAATCGAAATTCCCCGGAAATCTATCGCTGTTAAAGCACAAATGCAACGGATCTCTCGAAACACCCCATTCCCCGAAGTTCTTCCGCCTTCGCCATTGACTAACAAACAATCCCTACCAAAAAATCGATCATTTCAAGTGAAAAGAGCTTCTTTTTTTTTTTTTTTTTTTTTTTTCAACATAAATTCAAAATCCCACAAATCCTCTACACTAAACAAACGCAATAATTATTCCAGATATTTTTGCAAAAAAAAAAAGAAGAAGAAGTTTTTGAAGTTGAGACTTCGCCGGAAAAACAAGATTAGCCCAGAGAGGGCAGAAAATCAAACGCCAATAACAAAGGAGGTCCACGTTAGTTAATAACCAGTGTCATGTTATCATGGTAACTAGGTAACCTGTAAAAAATGCTAGGCAAAAAAATTAAGAGTAAATACCCAAAATGGTCCCTCGACTATAGCTAAATTCACAAATTGGTCCTCAACTTTCAATTTCACCCAATTAAGTCCTTAACTTTGCAATTTTGACACGATTTGGTCCTCTATTTAATTGACCGTTTGTTGACCGTGATCGACGATCTCCAGAAGACCCTTTAGCTCTTGTCGGAGCACGTGGAGGCCTCCAGGATGACGTTGCACCGATTCGGAAACACATCGTCTTCTTCGCTCTGGTACGAATTCAATTACATTGAATCCAAAGGGAAGATGAAGAAGGTGAGCGGGTTTGGTAGATTGCTTTCGACAGTGGATTCAAATGTAACAGTGCGGTCTAGAAATACAACCGGAACCTTAAAAAACCAACGATAAACCATGAAATTACGTATATATCCTCAAAAATCACAGTCAACAAACGGTCAAATAGACAGAGGACCAAATTGTGTTAAAACTACAAAGTTAAGGACTTAATTGGGTGAAATTGAAAGTTGATGACCAATTTGTGAATTTAGTTATAGTCGAGGGACCATTTTAAGTATTTACTCAAAAATTAATGATAAATGAATTGAAATATATGTTATGAAAGGTCATAAGGTAACATGAATAATCCGATATAGTTGGGATGACATTTTAGCAAATTTTTTTTTTAGCGAACCAAATATCACCAAACTCAAAACCAAACATGCAGCATAAGTCACGGATTAAAAATACATTTGAGGATTACTCCCCCGTCTCTCCGACTCTCACTACGCCAAACCCCAGAGCCCATTTTTGGGAAATCGCGGAGAAAATGCAGAGATGGTGTTCCAAGCTCCGATCTGTAGCCGTTCTCCGTTCAACCCAACAAAAACCCTATTTTCTGCCCTATCGTCTTCTTCACTCTTCTCCCAATCTCCTACACAAACCCCTTTTCCATTCACTAATTTCTTCCAAGTTTAACCATCTTCCTTATGCCCACATTTCAGCTCCTCTACCCTCAATCTCCGCTCACTCGTCTCTCTACCCTCCCTCCGTAAGTTTTCAACTTTCTCTGTATGTTTGTTTTTTTCTTCGAATCAATGGATTTCATTCTAGGCGTTTTATTTTAACCTCTGAAGATTTACTTCTGTTGTGTCCCTTAATTTATTGATTTCTGGTTGGTAATGATGAAATGGGACTTTTCTATTTCTTAAAATGCTTCATTTCTCAATCTTAAAATCCATAGCTCCACTTACGGCTTGAAACACCATGATTTTTCATGAAGCTTAATGGGAAAATTTAAGCTTAGAAGTTTGTCAATGCAATGGAAGAGTTTCTGTTATCTGAATGTGATTACTCAAAGGGCTGTCTTTGACCCCCAAGCTAGGAAATGTAGTAATATTAAAGAGATTAATGATCTGCTACTTGAATTTGCTGAGTGATATTTTTTTTAAAAAAATATTTGTAATTGCTTTTACTACTTTACTGATGGCAGTTATTATTATTATTATTATTATTACTATTACTATTATTATAATTATAATTATAATTATAATTTAATTTGACAGTTCATGCAAGTGCGGCATATTACTGCAAAACAGAAGAAGAGGAAGTTGAAGAGTAGGAAACCAATTACTCCAGTTGTATCTAAAGTCAAGAAAATAAAAATCAAGGGCTACTCGTATGTATAATCTTTTGAAATTCTTGAAATTTGTGTATGTATTGAGTCACATATTTATGTGGGTGATGACTGATTTGCTCTTAATTTGATGCATTAGGTCTTTTAAGGACAGATTTAGGGTGATGAAAGATGGACAGATAAGGCGTTGGAAAGAAGGGAAACGACATAATGCACATTTAAAGGTCTGATTATCATTTTTATGCTGGAAAAATTAATACTGATATAGTGATATCTGGAAATGAATAATCTAATGATAAATTTTCAATATTTATATAATTTATCAATTTATTTTTTAATATTAGGATGACTTGTATAATCAGACTTTTAACTATATTCTCATGATAGGTTGGTTTTAAAATTAATTTTCAGTTACGTGCAAATCAATAACTACTTGATGTTCTCTAACTTGATTTATGCCGGTGATAATTCAAGTAAAGATCTAAGTTTTTCTAAAGAAACTTGAGATTAGATTATGAAAGGCTGAAAGCAGCTGTTTTTGGTTAAGTTAGCCGAAATCCCAGGTGATCGTTTGTTCAATGGTAAAACTTTGAGTATTCCTACTTATAGAAAACAATATTCCTCTGTGAGTGAAACTTGAGATCTAGAAGATATATAATAGTGCTGGGAGACTCACTTGCACAATCCTACATTTTTCAATTGCTCAGCTCTACTGTCATAATGTGATGTTTTGATTGCATTAACCCACTCTCCTGGTCAGTTATATGATGTTTGTTTGTAGTCAAAGTGGAAAATAAAAATCTCAAAGAAACAATAAACAAGCCCTCAGTAGCACTATATCTAGTTATATGGAATTTGGAATTGATGTTCACTGGCTTATTATGTTCATGGTCCACGGTTAATGCAGTTTTGAGCTACCTTTATTTTTCGGTTTTCAGCTTGTGCATCATCATTAGTTTCTTAAAGATTTATGAGTTAGCATCTATTTGTTGGATAATAATATGTTTGGTATGCACTTCTAGTTTGAGTCTTGTGAAAGAATGTAATAATTAACTAATAGGGAACAATAGAAGTGGTTAAAAGTGTGACAAAACAGTCAAAGACTAATGCAACTGAAGAATGGACAGAGTTACCTAGCAGAATGGACAAAAAAAGATAAGATATCTGACCTAGTGGGTAACTTTGATGCATTGTATTTGAGTTACAACAATGAGTGAAAATGTGGAAATTGGCATTTTATAAGTTATGAATTTGAGGATATTCTTCTCTTATATTGTACTGGAAGATTATTTCTTTTCTCCTTTTTAGAGTTCGTAAGGTTAGATGAGGGAGGGTCTAACAATGTAGGGTATATGCCTGCTCAAGTTATATCTAAAATCAAATTAACTTATAAAAATTAGAATAATTTAAATTGGTAATAGAGTTGGGTGGGCTGATGCTTACAAGGAAGCACTGGATAAGTATCTTTGTTAGAAAAAAAAATATACATACTCTTTAGCTTCCATAGTTTCTTAGAGACTTTTAAATTACATTTAATGTATAATGGCCAATGAGTTAGATGATGCTTTGATGCATCCCACATCAGCAGCAGATGGAAATCTGGGTCAAAATATAAGTTTTGGGTCAAACCTACATTAATGAGCTAGTTTTGAGTAAACTAGCCAGGACTTTTGAAATTTGGGAAGAATTACCCAGAGTCCAATTACTGCTGAAAGGCCTAAGGCTTAGTTAAACCGAGCAATATCGAACTCAACGAATTTAATGCAAGTACACAAACTACGCTGACCTAAATCCTGAACTACCAGTCAAGTATGGAATAAGCAGTAAAGACGCAAAACCAAACAGCACGAAACAAGCAAGAACGCAGAGTGTTTGGTAACCCAGTTCAGAGTATGCATACTCCTACATCTGAGGGGCATCCCTTGGAGAAGGCTGCTCAATTCTCCATTACTCCAAACGGAAGATTCCACAAATCAACAAGAGATACAAGAAGGATTCAATAGAATTGAGCTAAACACTTAGCTAGAACTGATGAACTCCTTCAATTAAGAATTGGCTTGTGATCTCCCAATCTTCAGAATTAAGGCTCCCCCTAATTGCAGCTAATCTGACTCTCGTCAATAACCAAAGGGATTCAACAGCCCATAAATTTTCAAGAAGCTTGAATGAATTGACTTGATGATATCTCGAATCAGCTCTCGTGAAGGGATCAAGTCATCTTGTTAAATCTTGAATTAATCCTTGAAGAGTAACATATTCTCTTTGAGGAATTTCCGATCAATCATTATCAAGGAAAAGTCAGCTGTCTTTAAATAGGTAATTTCCGTAAAACTCTCAACGGCTGTAACTGACTCGAACGTGGCCATGAACATCTTCTCAACTGGTTCAATCTTTAGTCTTCATGAATGGAGAAGAACTAGATCCTGCTGTTTCAGATCCTAGTTCTGAACCTAACAATCTTATTTATAAAGACTAAACAAGAGGATGAACAACTGCTTTGTTCCATAAAACTTTACAATTTTGAAAAAATATCTTTTTGAAAAAAACTTTTATTAACAACTTTGGGTCTTTATAATTGCTATTCGCTAGTGAAACAGCCTTGTCTACAAGGCTAGAGTGGGGAAACTGACCCCAACAAACAGTGTGTACTTTAACTGTTGGTGGCAGCACAAGTTTTCAGGCGACTACACTCAATTTTTGCAATTCTAAAAGGTCCGTAGTATTGTGGAGCTAGCACGGTCTGAACCAAGGAGAACAACCCTTGATGAAGAGTGCCCGTTTTTTGACAGGGGTTGGAGAGATTGCCACCAAATTTGTCCATGAGTTCCTCTTTTAAATTGCCCCCAGCTCAGCATTGGGGTTTGCTGTCACACTGTTGTGATCTTCAATTCTTTGCGTGTGTGTTGGGTAGCAAAGTAATACTCTGTCAGAGTAAGCTATCCAATTAGATCAATCCCATTGAAGTTAGGGATTTCAATCTTCTTGGTAGTTGGACGGGTCATCTGTGGTAGTCGGGTACAGAGGTTGTTTGGTGGTGCTGGATTTTTCTACTGGGGATTCAATCTTGAAGCCAGCCTTGGTGACAGTGCTGGGTTTGACATGCCCTTTGTTGTGCAGCCACAAGGTAACCATCCTGGTTAGTTTAGCAATGGATTCCTCCACAATGGTGAATCCTTGATCCATTTCGGGGTGCACTGCTTCTTGACCCTTCTGCAATGCTTCAACTCTAGCGTACATTTGTGTCATTCTGGTTGGCAGGTTGGACCAATTGATGGAGTAAAGAGGCAGGGGGACCAGTTGGTGAATTGAAACTGGAAAATGAATTGCAGAATAATAGAAAATAAACCAAGAAATATCAAAATGATATCCTCCAGCAAGTTACAGAACATGCCCCCTCAGCTACAAGCTGATTAGTTTATTAATTTCTGGATGCCCTGCCTTCTAAAAGAGATGGTCCCTATTTATAATATATGAAATAAGCAAGTAGCATCAATTACTGATTACAATGATTAAATCCCTGATTATATTCTTCCTTGAATTATGTCATTTGCATGATTTGATTGATTTATTTTTCTGCCTGATTCCCTTTCTTCCTTTGTGAGGAAACTAGCCAAAGCTTTGGGTCTGTATTAGAAGGATAAAAATAGAAGGTTAGATTGACAAAGAATGAATGCTAGGGAGTATTAATAGGGTTGATCTGTGCAAGAATGTGAGGGGAATATTGTTTGGTTTTGTGTTCCAATATCAATAATCTACAGCCAATATGTCCTCTGATGAACTGTTGCACTCTGCATTGGCTTCTCACCCGTTTTGCACTATGCCTGGCCTATTTACACTGAATGAAAAAAGTGACAGTTCCCATCTTCCGGCACATTGTTGCTAGCCTGGAATTATTTATTAGGCTTCATAAATTGGAATATAATTTTCTTTTAAGTGATATTGATTGAGAGCACAGACCTTTTGTGTTCAAATCAATTACCTATTTCCAGATTACTTCTTTGTTTGCTTAAGATATGAGGACTTGGACAGTGTAATACTCAATTGTTGGTTTTATTTTGTTAAAGTTTCATTCTTTACGAACTGTATTAAAGTAAGGTACTGTGGGTCATTCATACAGAATATATTGTCAACAGCCCCACACCCTCTTAGTTCATGATTCATAAGTGCGCATCTCAAATCTTCTTGTGAATACTGTAAACTCGGTTTAATAGTATTGCTTCTTGCTGCAGTCTAAGAAAGCTAAACGTAGACTGAGGAAGCCTGGTACGGTCCCTTTGGCTTACGCGAAAGTGATGAAGAAGCTCAACTTTTGTGGTTGAATCGCCTGAGCATTGTATGCTGCCTGTCCCTTGCTTGAGAGGGGTATTTTTCTTGTAGTCCTCATTTAAAATTTTTAACTACCTAGAAGGTGTAGGGCAAGACTAGCTTGATATACCATTTTACTTGATTTGAGCAATGATGACTGACTTTGGTTTTAAAAGAGTAATACTACAGGTATTCTCACTTTTTATTCTCTATTGAGTTGACATATTAAGATGGTTCTTGAAAGAAAAGGTGGGTTACTGTTTTTTTTTTTTTTTTTTTTTTTTTTTTTTTTTTTTTTTTTTGCCTTTTCTGTCTTCAATAAACTGTTGTTCTCAAAAGGTTGAATCTCCAACCCCAACGGTCCCACACGCTCCTTTCCCAAAAGGAGGATATAAATCATGATAACTTAGCTGAACATAGAGGCTAGACCTTTGATTATAAAGGTTATTATGAAGTAATGAAAGTAAATTTGTATTAACTGTGAATCACTAAAATTTTGATTTTGCAGACAATTTTTCGCAAAGGGTGGGGAAGCATCTTTTGACACAATTTTATTATTAAACATATAGATATGTATAAGGTATACAAATTACGCATTTTATTGTTTATAAGTGTGTTGGGGAGATGGTTTACAATAGATAATTACTTCAATCATTTTCTATTATTTGAAAAAAAATTGTATTTTTGTGACATAAATGATCAAAACCCAATAAATTTTTCCCTTGATACACCAAAATGCATCAAATTTTGCCATTTGTGGCAAAGCTCTTGGAAGAACCTCTTAGCAATAATTTATTTGGAAAATTTGAAAATTTTGTAATAGTTTTGACATTAATTGTGAAATTGTCTATTGACATTTAACGCTATTGGCTACATTTTATGGCAGAAGATTTTTTTTTTTTTTCTTTTTTGGGGTATAACTTGTAATTTGAAATTAAAAAATGTATGTTACACTAAAAGCATATTGCAATATCCTTTAATTTATGGGAAAATTTGCAAATACTATTTAGATGTGCACTCTGGGTGAAACCCGTCTTGTGACCCTAGCCGGCAAATGATCACAATGAGGTAAATTAATTTAGGTTGTCCATACTTGACTGGCTCAAACTGAGAAGGTCAATAGATAGCTCCATAGGGAGTTGAACTTGAAACCTTGTGATTATTAACTTAATTGTTTGACCAAGCATATTGCAATTTCCATACACCTTTAAATACAAGGGTATTTTGGTCTTTTTAAAAAAATATAAAGTGGGTTGACGCATTATATTTTCATTTTTATTTTTTATTTTTGAAAAAAATTCCTAATTCACAGCTAGAGTCCTCTATCTTCTTCAATTGCAATTCGCGTCTTCACAACAATGGAAAGACACATAAATCTAGGACTAAAAAAAGAAATTAACACTTAGAGTTGAATACACTGAAATATCATCATATTTAATGTCATTTAAACATGTTTGTTGACGGAGGATAAAAATGGTCATGCCACAATAATACTAAGACTAATACGAGATGTTCTAAAAAAATGACTAAAACTGTAATAACACCTATAAATCTAGGACCAAAAATAAAATTAACACTCTAAACTTACAATTTTAACAAACTAACGGATTTATTTTACATTAATAAATATAACTGGCTGTTTGGTAACTGGCTGTTAGTTGTTAGCTGATTGTGTTAATTAGAGGGTATAACTAGATGATAACATTAGCTGTTGTAGAAAAGTGTTTGGTAAATTAGCTGTTTGATATAATTTATTTTCTGAAAAAGTTAATTGAAAAAGTTGCTTGGAGTAGCTTTTTAAATTTTAACATTTTGGAGTTACAAAAAGCTAATTAACCAAACACGGAATCAATTAATTAATAGTGGTCAAATAAGCCAAAATTGACTTATAGGCCAATTTTTTTTACCAAACAGGGTCTTAAACATCATTTAATAATCGAATCTTCATTTTCAAACTCCAACTCAATGCCAGAGCAGCCATTAGTGCATGGTGGATCTGGAAATGGAGGAACAGTGTCGTTTTCAATGGCTCGAGTCCGGACATCAACGAAAAAGTTGTTTGGCTGAGGACTCAATTCAAAGACATTGAAAAGGCGCTGATGAGGAGCGCAGGACCCAAGGATAGGGCGCCACCGTACCTATTGCCGGATGGGTGAAGATCAACACCGATGGCTGTGTGGGAAGAAACAATGAAGGTGCAGCATGTGGAGGGGCAATCCGTGACGAAAATGCTGGTTTCTGCCGGAGGATTGGATCGTGTAGTGCGCTGGAAGCTGAGCTTTGGGGAATTTACGAAGGACTCAAGAAAGCTTGGGAGCTGGGTTACCGGCGAGTCATCATTGAAACTGACTGCGCCAAAGCTCACAACCTGGCTGGTCGAGAATAACATGTCCTATAATGGCCTGCACGGGAAGGAAAATCGTCTATCTTTGCAGAGCGGCCAAGAATTGGGATTGGAGTGTGCACTTGAAGGCACAAAAATGTGCACTTAAATGCCAAAATTCTGCACTCGAAGGCACACTGTGCAATCGAAGCAATTAAATTCTGTACTCGAAGGCACACTGTGCAATTGAAGCAATTTATGGTAGCAAAAATGAAAGTTATTCAACTTAAGTGTTATTGAAGCAATTACCCATACAAATTGTTTGTAAATCTCACAAATTTTGTTATAAATTATTGAAAAGATTGAAAAACATATAATAAACAGTGACCCATAAATATACACTTGAATGTACAAAATATACACTTAAACGTATAAAAATTATTTTTCTAGAAAACACTTTTTAAGTTTTCAAACAGACCCTTAATGTACGTCAGTAGGTTGATTCTTTGCTAAGTTATTTTTAGTCACATAAAAGGACTGTAATATTTGCAAGTTGACTTTGACCATCCAAATTTGGGGTGTTGTTAGCAATTAGAGTCGAACATGTATAAAATTGTAATTTATAGGCAGCAACAAATTATGAAAATGGAAATTCAATTCGTATATTAAAAGGAAATTAAAGAAAGTGCATTGATATTTGATAAGGTTGACATAAAAATCAAAGTTACATTTCATGTGTACATGCAACAACCTAACGTGCTAGCTACCTAGCTACAATTCAAACACACAAAACAAATCGGCAATCCGATCATAGGATCGAGCAGCAGCTTAATTAGCTTAGCTTCAATAATAATATTAATATTAATATTAATATTAATATTAATGCGCGCGTGAAGGCACGTTGATTTTGTCGTCCTTACAAACCTGAAGGGATCCAAGCTTCATAATGTCGATGATTTGTTCCTGGGTAAGCTCAGGAATCTGTGTTGTGTTCTTCTTGTTGTTGTTATTATAATTATTATTATTTTCTTCCAGAATTATAACAGCTACAGGGGGGCTTTGCAGTACAATTTCTGGGAGTTTTTCTTCCCCAGGGATAGTCTTCTTCCTGTACATGGCGTACAGCAAAATCTGAAGAATTCCAAATACGAATCCCAACACGTTCGGAATCTGATCAATTCAATCAACCAAACATATACATTAGCCACAGCTGAGAAATCAAATTAAATATATACTAACTAAGCTGTTGGGCGGAGGCTGGTAAAGACTAAGCCTAACACCCGGTGACTGGGATTGTTAGGGGCGGATGTCGTTAAACTTAAAGGGCTAAGTCCAGCACCCAACATCTCAAAAAGTATGTACGCCTTTGATCGCTACTAACTTAGTTATAGATTTTGGTGTGAGTGATAAGCGTTTGATCCTAACAAGTAGTATTAAAGCGGTTTGAAACCCAACAATAACATAACATTTAAGAGTAGTTGGTGCTGGAATGAGAGAATTGTTGGGCGGAGGCCCGTAAAAGTACTGGTTGGTGCTGTGAGGGGTGAATTGTTGGGCGGTAAACTTAAATGGTCAAGTCCAGCACCCAATATCTCAAAAATGTGTGCCTCATTAACTACTAGGTATAAATTTTGGCATAAGTGATACGCTTGATCCTAACAAGTGGTATCGAAACCCAGTAATAACATAACATTTAAGACTAGCTAGTTGGTGTTATGATGAATGAATTGTTGAGCGTAAGTTAGTAAAAGAACTGGTTGGTGCTGCTGGGAGAGAGGAATTGTTGGGCTGAGATCAGTAATAAAAGTACTGATTGACGTTGGAAAGGGGGAATTGAAGAGTGGAGGCCGTAAAGGTGCACCTTGGTGCACGTACATTTAAATATTTAATTAATTAATTTGATAAACTTACAGCAATATTGAAGTCTTTTAGTAGAAGACCATAGAAGAACCATGCAACCGCACTTAGTGTGAGGAAAACCGATAGCAAAAATGGCATATGTTCCACGCTCTTTGTTCTCATTACTTGCCTCTGCATAAATATAATATATATTTATATGTATAATGAAAAACGAAAGGGTAAAAATACAAATTTCATGCATGATAATATATAAAAATTTAGGGTTAATTATATTAATTACCAGGATGCACAATGGAGCCACAAATACACACAAGGAGAAGACCAGGCAAATCCATCCCACCACTTGTGCACGAACTACGCCTTTGAACAGAAACTGCGTAACCAGAACTATAGCACCAAAACCACCAAATACCGACACCAGAAGTAACTTCATCGTATGTATCTGCACCACCCGTACGTACGTTAAATTAACAACCAACCATGTAATATAAAATACATATATATTGGTGGGCGGGACGCGGAAGTCCAACACCACCAGGCGACTAGGAAAGTGTTGAGTGGAGGCCTGAAACGCTAAGTCCAGCACCATGCCTTTCTAAATGTAACGCTGGCTGATATACACTTATAAGGAAATAAAATTGCGTCATCCCTATTAGTTATACCTTTTGGCTAATGATATGCTCTTAACAAGTGGTATCAGAGCACATGTTACTGGCGGTACGTACAATTAAAGGCTTTCGCTACTAGCTATAAGGGATATATATATAGTCTGGTTCTAGTGCGAATAGATCAACCTTGTCGCGTGGACGTGCACTACCAAGTTGCAAGAATGCACCACTACGCGTTAAGAAATGCACTAGGGTGTGGTGCATTTGTGCATTTCACCCTGGTGTATTTCTGAACACGTTATGGTGTGTTTATGCATACCGCTAATGGTGCATGACTGCACGTCCCAGGGTTGTGGTGCATTTGTGCATTTTCACCATTTTTGAATACGTTGCAGTATATTTATAATTCGTACAGTCGCACAAAGAAATCTATTCGCATTTGAAGTAGTATATATATATATATATATATATATATATATATATATATATACTCGCACTTAGGTGCGAACTAAAGAATACACTGCAACTACTCCAACTTCGTGAAGGAATTCGTTGCAACTACTTCCAATATCTGCCCGTCCTCTTGGCATACCTGCAGTAGTTGCGGTGCATTCCTTAAATAGACATATATATACTATCCAAAAATACAAGAGTTAGTTTACCCTGTCTTTCTTTGATGCATAGAAGAGGAAGAAGCAAACATATAAGGTTTCGATGAAGCATCCAAAGGAGTTGATGGTGATGAGAAGAGTAGTATTGGATTTGAGAAATGCATAGTAAATCCAAAGCATAGCACTGAAAAGCGCAACCACGTATGGTATTGATTGAAATCCGTCCGTCGATTTCTTCTTGTATATTTTATAGAACGTAGGCCTGCATGCAATATAATTTTACGGTGTGCTCTAATTAATATATATAATTAATTAACTATTTTTTCTATGATAAAATTAAACAAATTACTCACAGTGGCGCCAGGAACACGAAGAAGGAGATGATGTTTCCTGCCAAATTGCCACCAAATTAAAATTACCCATTATTATAAAATAAAGAGAATGTATATAACACACCTATAATTAAGCACAAAAATAATTGACTTTTTCTGCAACTTTTAACATACAAAAAATAATAATAAAACAATGATTAATTAATTTAATTACCACAGAGGCCAAAGATAAATGTCCAGTGATCACCGGAGAAGACAGCCATAGTTCCTAAGCAAAACTATAGATTTAGAAGGTAGTGTACAAATAAGTAGATTTGATTTGAGTTTCTTGACAATGAAATGAGAAGCTGCATGTTAACCTATTTATATAGGAGGGTGGCAAAATATTTAATACATTTTTTATTGAGTTTATATTATTTGGTTATTCATACCCAAAAA